GATCACATGGCCGGGGGTGTCGGATTGGGAAGACGAAGCTTAGGCAGACCCCAGGATTGCGACCGCCGTCTGGAGAATGGTGGGGACCCGGTAAGTAGAAAAGAAAGGTGGGGATGTTCTATGCCGCCCACCAGCGTTTAGGACTGCCCCAAAAAGCATGGCATAGAACGCCTGCCGTCCTTAAGGAGTTAACAGCAATGGGTGTTTAGTTGCAGCTTCTGTTTAATGACAGGTTTCCAAACTTGTCGCCACTTTTAACCCGCAGGCTGACTTTAACGTCTCCTCGCAAAGATTCCAAACAGTGACAGCTGAGCTGCTCCCTGGTAAATCACTCAACCACATGCTGTTTAAATTGTCGCAATAGCAACAAAGTGATAGCAAACTGTATTAAACTGTAATTTTTATCTGATACTTAACGAGGCACATAGGGACTACTTTGTCTTATGTATTTCCCCTAGGCCTGATAAACCTTGAGAATGGGTGGAGCTTAAAGTAAGCTCCAATTGCTTTATTTGCTTGACAAACATGACAAAGGAAGTGGAGCTTGCCTTAAACTCCACACTTTGTCAAGATTTGTCAGACATAGAAAAATAAACAAGACAAAGTAATCCCTATGAATGAAAAATAGATCAGAAATAAAGAAAAGAAGAGCAGATTCAGATAGAAGAATGAAAGTGTAATCAATAGAGCTTATGTTTGATGTAACAGAGCCATTTTACGAACTATCTTACTACCTTATATTATGATGGATTTACTTTGTTGAACATTTTATTCCTTTGCATAGTTAAATAACTGGGACAAAACGCAAATATGATTGTGATAAGTGATGTCGAGGACATTACTCTCTAACCTTGTATAGGTTCCCTCTTTAAATAGCAATATTACTAATCATTTCTGACTGTCCCCATAACAAACATAACTCAATGATACCAAATCTTCTGTGGTTTTTCATTCACTAAATACCTTACCACCATTGTTCCCAAGTATGGAAATGACACAATGTTAATTTTATGAAATGCAATGTTGGCAATACTTACGTTACTAGACCCAGCACCTGTACGTCAAGATTTCCATTTCCATCAACCTGCAGGCCGACATAATAGAAACCGTAACTATCCGTATATCCAACGGTTAAAGAAAATTTCAAAGTTCCTCTGACTGTAGCTATTGGAACAGGGATTATATCGTACCTGAATAATAAGAAACACAAGTTAAGCATTAGTAACAATGTTCAGTCATTAAGATGTTTAATTTGGACACTTTAATCCACTTAACTGCTAATACTAAAAACCAGAGTAGTACTAGTTAGAGATTTCATTAGGTTAGAAACTGCAGTAGATAAAGTGGAACACATGTTTTAGTATTTATTGACCTGAAATTAATTTTTTAAGACTTAATTGAGGCATCCTTTAAGTCCTTTTAAGCACTTTAAGCTTTTCCGGAAGCTTTAATACAATTTAAAAAAATATATTAAAAAATTAAGGGCACTGATAACTCTTAGGGCTTTAATACTTACAATTACATTTTCCCAGTGCAACTATTCATGACCATTTATATTCTATAATATAGAAATGTATATGTACTGTACACAGATAACTGGACAGGTATAAGCTGATTACCACTGTAATTTTCTGCACTGATATAGCCTCTTTGTCATGTCTGCGTGGGTAGTTGAGCTGCTCACAACTGTTCATATGCAGAGCTGGATTAACACTACATTGAACCCTAGGATTCAAGCTTAGCCCCATCCTAACATCTTGGTTGCTTGATG